GGGGGGTACATGTGCTCACTGGTGAGGGGATACAGGTGCTCACTGGTGGGGGGTACATGTGCTCACTGGTGGGGGGTACATGTGCTCACTGGTGAGGGGATACAGGTGCTCACTGGTGGGGGGTACATGTGCTCACTGGTGGGGGGTACATGTGCTCACTGGTGAGGGGATACAGGTGCTCACTGGTGGGGGGGTACATGTGCTCACTGGTGGGGGGTATATGTGCTCACTGGTGAGGGGGCACAGGTACTTGCTGGCTTGCCTAACAGTCTGAGTTCAATCTCCACCCCTGACTCTCATACGCTGCCCACTGACTTTCACATGCCAGCTTAAATGCACACCCACATTAGAATAAAAATAAATAAATAAATGAACATAAACAAATTTAAAAAGTGAGGAACTCTTACAACCTTTTAATTCAAAACTTTTCCTAAGATAATGACAAGACCACGTTCAGCTTATACAAAGACCCGATTTTGGAACCTCCATGTATGACACTGAGCAGTATGCTGCCCCATTACAGTGTAGGCCACGGTGGACACACACATTCTGGAATGTTCTGTCTGTGGCCCTTTAACAAACAGAGTTGCTGTGTTAGCAAAAGCTCCACATAGAGTGCAAACATTTATTCTTGCAAAGCATGGTGACATTCTACCTCAATCCCTGCTACTCAGAAGGCTGAGAGGCAAGAGGAGGAGGTAGTCAGGGCTATATGGCAAACTCAGTCACACAGAAAAAAAAATTAACCTATTATCTATAAACTTAGAACTCAAATCATAAAATCATAGTTATCCAAATTTTCACAACTTTAAGAAAGTGTTGCCGGGCGGTGGTGGCGCACGCCTTTAATCCCAGCACTTGGGAGGCAGAGGCAGGTGGATTTCTGAGTTCGAGGCCAGCCTGGTCTACAGAGTGAGTTCCAGGACAGCCAGGGCTCCACAGAGAAACCCTGTCTCGAAAAACCAAAAAAAAAAAAAAAAAAAAAAAAGAAAGTGTTTGGCACATACGGTACTACTTGTTGCACCATACGAGTAATATATACTATTTGAAGGTATGCTTTGTGATGCTGAGTAATATATAGTATTTGAAGGTACGCTGTGTGATGCTGAGGAACAGACCCAGGGGCTCACGTGCACATGTCAGACAAATACTCAACCACCGAGCCATACTCTCCAAGTTGTTGGGGTTTTTTTGGTTTTTTGTTTTGTTTTGTTTTGTTTTTTCGAGACAGGGTTTCTCTGTGTAGCCCTGGCTGTCCTGGAACTCACTCTGTAGACCAGGCTGGCCTCGAACTCAGAAATCTGCCTGCCTCTCCCTCCCAAGTGCTGGGATTAAAGGCGTGTGCCACCACTGCCCGGTGTTGTTTTTTTTTAAATGATCACTTTTTTTAATTGATCACTTTCTTGTTAAATGTAAACATTAACACAGAGAATAAGCACTCCACAGATATTTTAATTGTATGCATATGGACATTTCTCCCTCATGTGTGCCTATGCGTATGGGTGCAGTACCCTCAGAGGCCACAAAAGGTATCGGATCCCTGCACCTGGAGTACAGAATGCTGTACTTGTCACTGGGTGCTGAGAATTGAACTCAGGTCCTCTGGAGGAAGCCACCACTCTTAGCACTTCTCCTTCATCACTTTTATACAATTCCGTCCTTCGTTAGCTCTCTCTTCCAGCCTACTAAAGAGGCTGGACTTATAGTAAATGGCAATCAATCCTGAGACAAAAAGACCTGAAGTTCAAGGCTGGACAGTTACTGAGTGGTTAATAGCACCGTCTGTTCTTGCACAGGTCTGGGGCTTGGTTCCCAGCACCCACACGGTGCCTTATAACCAAGTAACTCCACGGGATCTGATGCCCTCTTCTGGTCTCCAGCAGCATTGCATGCATATGGTACACATACATGCATGCAAGCAAATAGTCATACACTCAAAATCAAGTAAGTCCTTTTTAAGAAGTGTAAATAAACAAATGAGCAAAACCATAGCAATCCCAGTGTGACCATCAGGAGGCCAGGCATGCCAGAGGAGCCCCTTGTCACCTACTGTTTCAACTGGAGGCTTCCGGTTTAGCTCGCTCCCTGGCTTAGGTCTTGAGCAGTCGTCTTCTGTATGTGCTTGCTTTGGCTGGTTCTGCTTCAGCTTTTGTGCCCATGATGTTACAGACTTACTACTTAAAAAGAAAAAAACATTACTTCCTTTAAAAGCCATCCTTTATCTGTAAAAGTCAGCATAGCACCTAGTGCTCCAGTGGCAGGGCTTTTTTCTTCTGCTAGTAAAAGGGGACAGATGCAGCGGTGCACCCTGTGTCCCAGCACTCAGCAGACCTCTGTAGGTTTGAGGCTAGACTACTCTACACAACATGTTGTGGGTTATATAGAGTCCCTGACTCAAAAAAAGGAAACAAAAATAATGTTTTATTGATTTTCCTAAATACCTTTCTTTTAAGACTTATTTTTATTGCTGCTCGAGAGATGGCTCAGCAGCTAAGAGCACGCCTGCTTTTCCAAAGGACCTAGGTTCAATTCCCAGCACCCAAATGGCAGCTCATACCTGTCTGTAACTCCAATTCCAGGGGAGCCAACAGTGTCACACAGACATACGTGCAGCGAAAACACCAATGCATAAGATTCAAAAGTGAAAGATTTTTATAGATATGCACATTTTGCCTCCATGTATGTCTGTGTACCACATGCATGTCTAGTGCGTGTAGAGGCTAGAGGAGAGTACCGGTCCCCTACACTTGGAGTCCCAGGCCATTGTGAGCCACTGTGTGGGTTCTGGGACGGAACTCAGGTCTTCTGTAACAGCAGCCAGCTCTCTTAAACCCTCTCCCCAATGGCAAACTTCTTCTCCTTAACTTTTTATTTATTCACTCATTTATGCATCTTTTTTTTATTCTGTGTATATACATGATGCATGTGTGTCACAGTATACACACAGAGGCCAGAGGACAACTCTGTAGAGTCAGTTCTCTCCTGTAAGACAGAACTCTGGTCATCAAAGCCTGCATGGCAAGCTCCTTCACCAGGGACATCCCACTGGCCCTGAGTCTCCTAACTTTCTTTTTCTCTGTTTTCTGTTGTTGTTTTGTTTTGTGACAGGGTCTCTCTGTTATATAGCCAGGGTTGTCCTGGACCTTGCTGTATAAACCAGGCTGACCTTGAATTTACCCTCCCTCTGCTTGGGTTAAAGGCATGCACCACCATGCCCAGTTTCTATAACAGTTCAAATGTGTAAAACTGAAAACTTCAGGTAAACCACATTTCTTGTTGTTTTCTGATTTGGGGGTACTTGGTTTTTTGTTTTTGATTTTGAGATAGTCCTGGCTGTCCTGGAACTCACTCTATAGACCAGGCTGACCTCCAGCTCACAGAGACCCTCCTGCCTCTGCCTTCCAAGTACTGGGATTAAAGGAACGCACCACCATATGCAGCCTGAGATATGAGTCTTTTTGTTTTGTTGTTTTGTTTTTTGGGACAGGGTTTTCTGTGGAGCTCCAAGAGATCCACCTGCCTCCCCTTCCCAGTGCTGGGATTAAAAGCGTGAACCATCACATCCAGCTGTTAGGGCTGGAGAGATGGCTCAGCGGTTAAGAGCACTGACTGCTCTTCCAAAGGTCCTGAGTTCAATTCCCAGATGGTGGCTCACAACCATCTGTAATGGGGTCCGATGCCCCCTTGTACTGTTACAGTGTACTCATACATAAAATAAGTCTTTTTTTAAAAAGTCCTTTTTAAAGGTTGATTTATATCTTTATGTGTGTATGAGTATTTGGCCTACATGCTATATATGTGTATCACATGTATACCGTGCCCGAGGGGGCCAGGTGAAGGTGTTGGGTCAACTGGAACTGTGATTACACTTGTTGGCTGCTATGTAGGTGCTGGGAACAACACCTTTAAAAAGGTCCTTTAAAAATGCAGCTAGAGCTCTTACATGCTGAGCCCCTTTCCAGCCCTGTGTTTAACAGTCTCAAAGCACTGCACATGGGAAGAGTCAGGAGTCATTAGTACATAGGGCTTGTTTATTTCAATTCTCCACATGTAACATGCAAGAGTCAGATTTTAATGGTAAAACTGATTTGTATCCAAATACATCTCAAGTCTACTGTGAACCAAACAAAAAAAAAAAAAACATTATTTATTATACTTTAAATGTCACTAATAAATGAATCAAACCTTTCAAAGAGCAGAGACATCTACTTACCTATTTGCTTTTCCACTGTAAACTTCAGAGATCTTGCTTTCACCAAGAAAGTTTCGTTCAAATTCACCAGGAAAAGTGGAGACGTCTTCCTTTAGCGATGCACAAAGCTCTTCAGGAGTCTGTGTGAAAAAGTTTATAGCTGCTGTGCCTCCTGCGGGGGCCTGTGCCTGCACTGCAGAGGCTGTGTGCTGCCCCTGGGAAGCTGCCTCGGGATCCAAGGGCTTGGTGGGCTCCTTAGCCTGGTGGGTGTTCATCTCCAGGATGCAGAAGGTGCCGTAGCCACTACTCACTGAGCTGCTGTCCACATTGCAGTCTGGCTGGGATGCGGACGATGCTGGCTGGGTCTCAGGTTCCTTAGACGCTGGGTAACTGACAACAGACTCATTTCTCTCACTGTTTTCAGAAAAGAAGCCCATTTGGCTTTCTGAAGACACCTGCTCACTCACAGAGCTGCTGTTGCAGGAAGGCCAGGAAGCATTGCTGATCTGCAGTTTCACTAACTTCCGGATCTCCTCCTGTATCCGCTGAGAACAAAAAGGGTAAAGAAAGGTACATTAAACATTTTTTTTTTTTAATGTTAAGAAAAGGTCGTGCTTCAAAATATGCTACTACTGTAAATATGATATCTTCATAAGCAAAACTAACACGTAAACTGTTTTGACTGCAAATCCCACAGATAAAAAGCATCCATGTTGAGGACAACTCACCTGGATCTGCCTATGGAACTGCTCCTGCTGGGCGACAATCTGTTCCTGGCAATGTTGCTCAACCACACTGAAGAGCTGCAGCCACCTGGCCTAAGAAATTGTAAAGAATCTTCACCGAACAGAATTTTAACCTAAGATGTCGCAAGAAAAATGCTCTAGTGAGCAACACTCTGTAACCCAGGCTGGCCTGAAACTCACTATGCAACCAAGGCTGGGCTCAAACTCAAAGCAATCCTCCTGCCTTGGCCTCCCAAATTCTGGGATTACAGGTACCAAGCCTAGCAAAAACATTTTTTTTAATACAAAACTTATAGGCCAACTTATATAATTAGTGCAACACTATTAAAAGCAGAGATTAGCCAGGCATCGGTGGTGCACACCTTTAATCCCAGCACTTGGGAGGCAAAGGCAGGTGGATTTCTGAGTTCGAGGCCAGCCTGGTCTACAAATGGAATCTTAAATTGTCTTCTGTTGTTGCCTAGTTCTGTGGAGGCCAGAAGGTCCCCTGGACCTGGAGTTCCAGCTAATGAGCCACCACGTGGACACTACGATTGAGCCACTGGTCCTCTGGAAAGCATCCTGTGCTCTTAACCACTGAACCATCTCTCTAGCTCTGTTCTTATACACTTTTAAGAATTTACTATGCACACGAGCACACAAGCAAATGTGCCAAACACGAGGGGCTATGCCAAAGTAAACATGTGGAAGTCAGAGGTCATCTTGTGGAAGGCACTTCTTTCCTTCCAGTGTGGCACCCAGGGGTGAACTCAGGTCATCAGGCCTGGAGGCAAGCATCCTTACCTGCTAAGCCATCTCATCGGTCCTTTTATTTCTGATTAATAATGTACTAGATGGTACCAGGTATAATAGTACATACCTATAGTTGCAGGACTCAGCAAGTTGAGGCAGGAGAATGTTGAGACTGGCCTGGACCATACATGGAGACACTTTGTGTGTGCATGTATATATGTGCACATGTGTGTGTATGCACTCATGCATGTATGCATATGAAGGGAAACCAGGCAGAGGTGAACCTCGAGTGTCATTCCTCAGGAGCCACCACCTTGTTTTGTTTTTTTTTGGTTTTTCGAGACTGGATTTCTCGCCGGGCAGTGGTGGTGCACACCTTTAATCCCAGCACTTGGGAGGCAGAGGCAGGTGGATTTCTGAGTTCGAGGCCAGCCTGGTCTACAGAGTGAGTTCCAGGACAGCCAGGGCTACACGGAGAAACCCTGTCTCGAAAAACTCAAAAAAAAAAAAAAAAAAAAAAAGACTGGATTTCTCTGTGTAGCCCTGGCTGTCCTCAAACTCATAGAGATCTGCCTGCCTCTGCCTCTCAATTAAAGGGACTAAAAATGTGCACCAACATCTATGCTAATTTGAGTAGAAATAGGCTATTTTATCTGTGAATTTCACTTTAGAATAGTATGAACTGCCTTTACTTTAAAAGCTACAAAAAGAAGTCTCCAGGCCTAATAAGTTTCCACGTTACAAGCAGTGTCTAGTACACTATCCGGCAGAGAGACAAGAAATTGTCAACACTTATTATTTCCATCCTATTGCTGTTAGCATTGCATATGTAACCCAAGTGGTAAAATGCTAAAAAGATCTAGCTAAAGCAAACTAACAAAACTGTCACTCTGCCCGCTCAGAATACGGAAGGTTTTATGTCTAGCAAAGTAGATTAGTTTCTTTTGAGTGACAAGAATCAAATAATCTTACTATTCCAAAAGGGAGGTGAGAACCAGAGACTCCAGAGGAAAACTATCAGACTCGGGCTTGCATAACACCTGACCTTCTGTTCCTAAAACGCTTCTCTAAAATGTTGGCAGTTTCTGTCATTTTTTTTACACTCTAAGAAAGCACCTTAAATAAATCAAGGAAACTCTACTGAAGTGACCACAAAGTGCACTGCCCTTTCCACCAACACAGCACGCAGCTCTTTACTGAGTAGCTAAACTTTACGAGTCAGGTGGGCGTTCACTAAACACAGCAAAAGGTTACATCACTGAAGAGAAACAGGCTTACAGAACTCCAGCCAGGTCTCCTTCCTCCTCAGACTTTCCCTGGCTCCAAACCTGAAAGAGGCTGAGCCTGCAAAGGAGAGCTCAGGGTCAGGCCATGAGCCCAAAATCAACAGTCTACGGAGATCATCTACAGAGAGCGTTTTCTTAAATCAATACATTAGACTCACAAATACAGTCTGTCTCTGACTTCAGCTGTTGATTCAAAGTATTAAAGCAATAACTTCTAGTCAACCACAAGTGCCAGAAGCAAGCTGTGCTGTGGTGCCTGCTCTTGTTCTTACTTACATGTGTCTGCTCACACGCTAATGAGTGACACTTGATGGAACTTGTTTTCCCAGATGCTGAATTAGAACCCTGGGCCTCACACGTGCTAAGCATGTACATGCCACTGAGCTACAACCCCAGACCAGGCCATCCTATGTCTTAACAGCATCATACCACAGGACATCCTGTAGGTCTTCCCCATTAGCTCACTGTGATTGTTGGGTGGATCAACAGAAAGTGTGGGAGAAAACTGAAAAGCTGCCAATTACAGAAGCTCAAACGTGAAATCTCAGCACTTGGGAGGCTAAGGCATGAGTGCTGTGAACTGAAGGCCAGGCTGGGTTACAGAATGAGTCCCAGCATTCTAGGCTAGGGTGAGACTCTGCTTCAAACCACTGCCACCCCCTCCTCCCAAAATCAGAACAGCTCATTTTTTTAGTATGTAGCAACAGTCCATTTTAAATGCATAATCCTTTAGAGATTACATTTAGGGTATGGCTGCTACTAAATTCTTAAATCAGGAGGTCATTATTTCCATTTTATAGTCTAAAAACACAAGTTTTGGTTCTAAAAGTACAATTAATATAAAACAAACCATCTACTGCTTAGAGTCTGATAACCATGTCTGTATTTTTATAAAGCATTATAACCTCTAACATAGTCTTAAAACGCAGGAAAAAGAGGCCTGGCAGCTCACACTTTTAGTCCCAGCACTTGGAAGACACAGTCAAGAGAATCTCTGAGAGATCTCTATGAGTCCGAGGCTAGCCTGGTGTATATATACACAGTGAGCTCCAGGCAAGCCAGAGCTGCAAAACAAGACCCTGTCGCAAACAAAACAAAACAAAACACTAATTGAGAAAAGGCCATCCTGGATAATATTCTCCAAAGAAAATCTTATGAGTATCCTCTTAAATGTCAATCTTTTAAGTTAGTTTGTTTGTTTGTCCTTTTCCTCCTCTTCACGGTTTTTGCAGTACTAGGGAGAGCACATCACCACCAGCTTCCACATCAAACTTCAACTGAGAGACAGATGTTCATAAACATTAAATTTCCATCACAATGTAACCAAAGAAATCGCTGCCATGAAAAGCAGACAGCTCAACACATCATGATGACGAATGTGTTCATAATCAGAGCATTCAAAATATTTCAAGCAAAGTAGATTAAGGAAAACTCTAGGAGTTACACAGAAGACTGTAACTCATAACAATTGTAACAATCTGAGGGTGCTGGGAACAAAGACTTCAGTTCACAGGGAATAGTCCAATCTATCTACTGAGGCTACCATCTTCGATGTTTTCCTTTCTTGTTCCTTCAGTATCAGGGTCTGGTTAACATGCTTACTCATTTGACTTTAGCCCTAAGGTTAAGTATCATGGTTTTCTAGACACAGATTTCTAACAATTCAGTAGAGCCCCACTGAAATAGAAATCTTTTCAAGACCCCCAAAATAAAACAAAATGAGATACCTCACAGTTCTTCCAAAGTTCTGAGTTAGTCCGGCCACTGTTCTGTAGGTCTTGTCTTAAAGCAGTGAGAACTTCCACTGTCCCTTGAATGACAGGTGGCCCGGTCTTCCCTGAGAAAGAGGATACCCCATTTGTACTAAGGTGGGGACTACTTCTGTTGAAACATAAATAATTCAGATCGTTTTCCTCATTCGACTGAAGTGTTGAATAATTCAGCAGTTCAAGATTTAGCAGAGCAGAACACAACCACTGATACCTAATCCTCCATTATAATGGCACCTCCTTTGAAAATCTGACCACAAAGGCCAGATAGCACAGGACGACAGGACACACTCACTTCTTTACGGCGCCACAGGAAGACCTTCTCCACAGAAAGACTTTCTCCAGCACTGAGGGAATGCCCCAAAGCCCAGTGGAACCACAGGGAAACGTCCTAGCTTCTCTGAATTATTCTAGAAGATCATCTGGCCCACTTTAAACAGCCCTTCATTGTGTACTAAGGATTCTCTCTCCACTGCCCAGAACAGACAAGTCTTAGTAACCAGACCCTGATTTGGTGTGATAAGCTTATCACTGGACTACCTCTGAATGAAAGTGCTGCCAAGCCAATTAGAAGCCAATATTCAGGATTTATTGAGCCTGTGTGGTGTGTAATGGAACACTAATTCTTTCCAGAACACCTCTTTTCCAAATGTGGATTGATTGCAGGTTTGTATATAAACACCCCAAGCACAATTCAGGACATTAAAATTTGTCTAGTAGCTGAAGGAGCATTTTTATTTTCATTGGTTTTTTGGTTTTTTTTTTTTGTAATAAGACTTTTTTCCCTCCCACCCCCCTTTGAGACAGGGTTTCTCTGTGTAGCCCTGGCTGTCCAGAACTCACTCTGTAGACCAGGCTGGCCTTGAACTCAGAAATCCACCTACCTCTGCCTCCCAAGTGCTGGGATTAAAGGCATGCACCACCACTGCCCAGCAATAAGACTTTTTTTTTAATGACTTATTTTATGTGTGTTGGTGTTTTGCCTGCATGTATATCTGTGTGAGGGTGTTGGATCTCCTGGAACTGGAGTTACAAACACTTGTGAGCTGCAGTGTGAACGCTGGGAATTGAACCCAGGTCCTCTGGAGAAGCAGCCTGTGCTCTTAACTACTAAGCCATTTCTCTCCAAATTTATATTTTGTTTATATTTTGTGTGGTAGGCTGGCCTCATTCATTATGTAGGAGAAGACGACCCTGGACTTCTGTTTTTTCTGCCTTTTCCTCACCAAGTGCAGAAATTACTGTTACGACCCATGACACCTGATCTCTGCTGTGCTAGGAACAGAACCCAGGGTTTCCAGCATGCCAGACAAGCGCTCAACCAACAGAGCTACATTCCCAGACCCCGAGCTTTGTTACACACACACACACACACACACACGCACACGCACACGCACACACACACAAAATGAAGATACCAAAATAATAAAAGTTAGGACCAGAAAAAAGAAGTCGAGAGCAAGAATAAACTCTTTCAAATATATGTCCATAAGAACTTTACAGAGTTGCAATTATGTAGTTGCAACATGGTGGATTTAACTGCCAGTCACGAGGAAAAAGGACAATTCAATGACATAAATTTTATGAGAAAGCCACACTTAGGTTCCTCCAGGCAACTCAAGCACTACATTCTGAAGGAAGCTTCCTCTAGAAGTGGATTTCAGAGGAGCCATCAAGTGAAACAGGGAGTAAAATGTGGGCCAGCACTCAGCTTTCGGGGCAGAGCACTACAGCAGACACTCCTTCTGGGTCATTTCTCACACTCTACGTTCTCCTGCCAGACTCCCTTATGCCAAGTGGTACTATACAATCTGAGAGCTACTTCAAACTCCCCACACAGAAGGCAGAGAATCAACAATTTTAAAAGTAGTTTATTCATGATACACAATTTCTCCAAAATCTTGATATTTAAAGCTATGTGATCCTCTGCCAAGTATGGTGGCCCGTACCTTTAATCCCAGCATGCTTAGGAGGCAGAGGCAGGTGAGTTTCTGTGAGCTAGAGGCCAGTGTAGTCTACAGAGGGAGTTCCAGGACAGGTAAAGCTATAAAGAAACCCTGTCTCAACAAAAGAAAAAGCAAAGACAATGCAGCAAATGTACGTGCATGTGGTTGTACAGAGTCGAGGCATAATGCCCGGATTGGGAGGTAGCACCAAGAGGACTGCCACTGGTTCCAGGCCAGCCTGGTCTACATAGTGAGCTTTAGGGCAGACAGGCAGGGACATAGAGACCCTCAAGCAATCATTAAATAACTAAATACATAAAGCATTTGGTTGGTTGTTTTGTCAATTTATAGTCTGTTTTGCTGTTGTTTTGTTGTGGTTGTTTGTTTAATTACTAACACAATTTCTTTTTTTTTAATTATCTTTTTAATTTTATGTACACTGGTATTGTCTTTTTATGTATGTGTGAGGGTGTCAGGTCTCCTGGAACTGTAATTACAGAAAATTGTGAGCCGCCATGTGCATGCTGGGAATTGGACTTGGGTTCTCTGGAAGAACAGCCAGTGCTCTCAACCACTGAGCCATCACTCCATCCCCTCTAACACACATTTTCTTTTTTTTTTTTTTTTTTTTTTTTTTTTTATATTTATTTATTTATTGTATTGATGAGTACACTGTAGCTGTCTTCAGACACACCAGAAGAGGGCATCCAATCTCATTACGGATGGTTGTGAGCCACCATGTGGTTGCTGGGATTTGAACTCAGGACCTCTGGAAGAGCAGTCAGTGCTCTTAACCGCTGAGCCATCTCTCCAGCCCTCTAACACACATTTTCAATTGCTACTTCCCAGATTAGTGCAACGCTTCTGCTTTATAAAATATAATATTATTAATTTAAAATGTAGCAAGTTGCTAGGTATAATAGCTCACATTTATAATCCTAGTACTGGGAAGGAGGACTGCCTTGAGTTTGAGGCTAACCTGAGCTACACAATGAGGCTGGCTCTTTTAAAAAAAAAAAAAAAAAAACGTGAAAAAAAGGGAGAAATAATTAGTAAATTATCAGGAGGTAGAGAATCAAAAGTTCAAGGTTATATTATGAGTCAGGCTAGCCTGGGCTATGAGAGACTCTATCCTCAAAAAATAAGTATATGCCGGGCGGTGGTGGCGCACGCCTTTAATCCCAGCACTTGGGAGGCAGAGGCAGGCGGATTTCTGAGTTCGAGAGTTCGAGGCTAGCCTGGTCTACAGAGTGAGTTCCAGGACAGCCAGGGCTACTCAGAGAAACCCTGTCTCGAAAAACCAAAAAAAAAAAAAAAAAAAAAAGTATATGTATATATTTAGGTTACCAAATTTTAAAGATATCCTTATAAGTTGCCAAATAAGAAAAACATAATGTATAATACAAAGAGAAAGACAAACGTGGGGCTTCTGCTTCTGTGAGACCATTGTCTTACCATGTAGCCCTGGCTGGCCTGGAACTTGCTATATAGCTAAGTTCTTTTCCACAGTGTTGTCCTTGTTCACTTCTCTGCAGGAAGTGAAAAGCACGGCAGAGAGACAGATGGATACTGTTCTCCACTGACAACTGTACCTGAATAGTTTATCAGAGGTTGGCTGTTCTGTTCTTTAAGGCAAACCAGCAACTATGCCACTGATTAAATCAACTGGTCAGCTCTGCAAACAACACTATTTTAACTTGTTGACACATGAAAATAGTATCAAACCAACTCTTACCTATTAGCGTGTAAGCTCAACCCAAGGGAATGGGGAGTACTTTGGATATCAGAGTCTACAGAAGGTGACGTTTTTTGTAAAGTTTCCACCAAATCAAAATCCTCCATAGTGTACAAAAATTGTTAAGCTCTGTCATTTAGAAATCCTGCTGCTTCTCCTTCGGGAGGAGACTGCTTCAGAGTCCTCTTCAGCCGCTTCATCTTCTACCAGCATCCTCAGCGGCAGACATGCAGACCTGTGAAACTGGCTGTACTTCCAAAGAGTCTGAAAGGGAATGGGGGAGATCTGGAGTAAACGGCCACTAAATGTATATCCACTATCGTGTCATGACTGTGGAACCCTCTCAAATCCATCCACAATAACAACAGCAGTAGTAGGCAGGGCTCGTTAGTTAAGAGTACTTGCCAGGCAAGCCTGACCAGCTCAAGCTCCAGAATGCACGGTGGAAGCTAAAGACTGACTTCTCTGTTGTCCATGTGGCACATATGAAGACACTCACAAACACAAATGTAAAAGAATAGCAATACTACATATAATGACCCAAGTGTAGAAGCCCCAGTGCCCCTCTGCAGGTGAAGGGACAAAGCAATATGGTACGGCCATGTGACGGAATATTACTGGGTCAAAGAAGGAATGTAGCAATTAGATCTCACTACCACAAGGAGAAGCACAGAAAACACCAGGCTAAGTTTAAAAAACAATCATAAAAAAAGAACTACTCTAGGACGCCACTTGTATGAAGCATCTAATACTGACAAGCTCCCGGGGCAGGAAGGAGACTATGTCTGAAGCACTGAGGAGAACGGAAGAAAGGAAATCACTGCAGTGTAGTCACATTTCAGCTTTGGGTAATGAAAAGTTCTGGAATTGGCATTTTTCCCCTAAATCCTCTAAATAATATACTTTAAAAAAGATGGAGTTTATATATAGGAACCATTCTCTCTCTCTCTCTCTCTCTCTCTTTTAAAGGTAATTTGTAGGAGTCTGCTATCTACTTTAGGCAATCCTTCAGAATTTTGTGTTTGATAATCAGGGTTCTAAGTGTACTCTATTATGTAATAAATGGGAGGACTTCCAGGTCTGCCTCACTTCTTTGATAAGTCCTACCTTGCAGAAGTACTTGTTGACTTAAGAAGCCACCAGGGCTGTGATGGCAGCATGCACCTTTATCCCAGCACTCAGGACCCAGAGGCAGGCAGATCTCTGAGTTCAAGGCCAGCCTCACTACAGAGTGAGTTCCAGTACAGCCAGGGCTACACAGAGAAACCCTGTCTTGAGGGTAAGGGAAGAGCTATTTAACTGATAAAAAATAGTGGGGTGTACACTTCTCAATACAGAGCCTGTGTATTAACTTCTTGAAAGACTATTACCTGACAAGTTAACTACAATCTTACTAAAGGCAGAGATAAATTTGCTACTCTAAGCCCAATCATATGCTTCCTCCCTCCCTCCCTCTGGAATCTGTTATTTAAAAAGATGGGGGAGCCAGGCAGTGGTGGCCCACGCTTTTCATCCCAGCACTTGGGAGGCAGAGGCGGGTGGATTTCTGAGTTTGAGGCCAGCCAGGTCTACAGAGTGAGTTCCAGAACAGCCAGAGCTACACAGAGAAACCCTGTCTCGAAAAACCAAAAAGATGGGGGAAAAGAAAAAGGAGTGGGAGGGGGGTTGGAGAAAAACAAAGTCCTAAGCTGTTTACAAAATGGGAAGTTTAGAGACTGCATCAGAAGAACTCTCTCCCGTTCCTATCCCACTGAACTCTCACTTTCCAGGGCTTAAAAGAATACAATCAGTTCATTAAAGTTAAGGAAACATTCCCTTCAGGACAGGTACAGAGGCCAAGGGTAACCAGACCTAAGTAAATGGGCTTTGCTTTCCTCACCTCACCACCTCAGTGTCAAGCCTATCACCAATGACAAATGGGGTATTGAAAAATCCAGGGGCTGCCTCTTCCAACTGGCAACGAAAATACCTGGATTCAAATGACCACAAGTCCTCCAGAGAGGTGATCTACAGTCCCACCTCTTCTCCCCGACCCCACCTCCGCTCAAGTAATCCGGATGCAGGAGATTCAGATAAACACCACTAGAAACTCGATGACGCTTCTCCAGGCAGGGGGAAGGTCGAGGCGAAAAGAAAAGGGGAATCCGAGATAAACTTTACAGGGGGAAAAAAGATGCTTCTGTCCCTCATCCTACAACCCATTGGGGTTGGAGGCAGAAAGTGATGGAGTTGCGTTAACAATTTTAAAGTTCACTATGCTTCCTCTTTGCGGAGAGGCTGAAAGGAACCAGCATGAAATGGATTCAGGTGTTGAAGTCAGATGCTAGTCACTGGCAGCGAACACTGACTCCAGGCCGGAGGCGAGAGGACATAGAGATGATGGAGAACCGTTACTCACGACCACTGAGATTTCCAAAAGGAGTCGGAGTACCACTACCAGGGAGGGGAGGGGAGAGGGAGGGGGAGGGCAAGACACTCACGCCCCTAGCAAAGGCAGCAATCCGATTGGGCCTCGCTGATGTCACTCAAGGGCACGAGTCTAGAAAAGGCGCATGCACCCGCAGAGCCGCACTGACCACCGGGGGTAGCCGGCAACCTTCACCCTAGCCTGTCAACGCACCCAGGGGGTCCACTCTGATGGAGTCGTCTAGGACTCTGCCCTCAGCCCTCGCGGCAGCAGCTCCCCACAAGCCGCGACCGCTTACCTGGCCTCCTCGCCTCTGCCTATGTCGGTACCGGGAGATTGGCCTCACGCGACCGTTAAATTCCAAGGAGCGTGCGCGCGCCCGGCGTCTCACCCGCGATTGGTTGCTCGGAAGAGGGCCGAGCCGGCGAGCGCAGCGCGCGCACCTTCCCTAGTTCCCTGACGCGCAGCTCGCGCCAAAGAGGGCAAGGCGACGCCGGAGGCGTGAGAGGGTGGGGCTTGAGGCCAAGACCTCTGCTGATTGGTTCTCTAGAAACTGCGGGAAAGACGCCCCGGTTTCTCGCGTGCGCAGTTAGTGGGAATGAGCCTCTGGTAGGCTGGGGAAGCCGTGGGAGGAGTATAACGCATGCGCAGACCTGGAAAACTCAGCTCCCCAGTCCTCAATTCACTGTGGTTTACAGTCTCGCTGAATGCTTCCGGCCGGAGGCAGGTGCAGAACCAGGTAAGCGTCTGCAAAGCCGGGCTCGGACTAGGGCTGGTTACTACTGTCAGAGGCTCTGGAATGAGACACTGAAGCTGGACCTCCAGACCTACTTCCGACTTCCGTCACCAAACTTACATGAGGTCTTTTCCAGCCTGACCCCTGAGCTAAACTATCTGGACTCACTTTACCCGAAATTTAAGGAGATCGGCTGTGTGTCTCTCCAAGCACATAACGCGAGGAGAGAAGGAGAGTTCGCAGCTCTGGACAGGATAGTTCCACCGAGGCCCAAGGAGAAACGGGTCAATACTCATCTACTTATTCAATGGGATTTGTCTGGTAGCAAGTGCAGCACTGGGGTAGGGGTAGCACATAGTATCCGGGCCTAAACAAGTGCTTGGACACTGTCATGTAAGTACGTGGATGCAGGAGAGCTTTTTGCCCTTGAAATGGTAAACCACAAAAGATACATCTCATCTCGTCCTCTCCTTAAAATACCCACCACTTAGGGTAATAATACTAATACTTTAGACAGTCTCACTATATACCCTTGGCTGCCCTGGAACTCGTTATGTGGACCAGGATGCCTTGAACTCAATAAGATCCTCCCGTTTCTGCCCCCCAAGTGCTGGGATTAAAGGTCTATGCTTTCAAGCCTGGCTAGGCAGATATTTTTCAACAGTGAAACTTAAGTAGCAATCCCAAGAGGTGTATACCAGATCTACAGCCTCTACTGATTCATCCACGTATCAATCAATATAATGACCGTACACCAAAATCAGTTTTTTAAGCGCAGACCTCATATTTCAAAATGTCTTATCACTTATTTCAGTTGGTCCTTAAATCTCTTAACTCTGATAGATCTAATATTTTAATAACTAATCTAACATTAACTCTATTAGATTCTAATAGTTAGAGACACTAGAATCTTGCATTCAAGTAAGAACTGTGAATTCCTCAAACAGCCAGTCAGAGAAAGGCGTCTTCTTCTTACAGGTGAATATGAAATCCAAAGGCAGCTACTAGGTTCAAACCATACAGAAGGCATGACCACAAAACCAGAAATGCTTTGTAAATTTTGGCGGGTTTTGGTTTTTTCTTTCCATAGTATGAGTTTGAATAGCAGCATTTTTATTGAGTGTTGGGTTGGTTTTTGAGAGAGGGCCTCCCTTACATCCCAGGCTGACCTGAAACTCGGTATGTAACCAAGGCTAGCTTTGTACTCTTGATCTTCCTGCCTCTGTTTCACAAATGCTATGATGGCCAACCACTGTGCACAAACAGCTTCAGTATATTCTTTTTAGGCCATTTCTAGAGAATTCCTTTTTAATCTGTTCATATGTTGAGTCAGATGTTCAGGAATTAGCATTGTTACTGTTTTGTTAACTGACACAGGTGTTTCTTACCTTGGATATAGCTTTTTGATAAGGTCTCATTCATTTGTTCATCCCTTTGCTGGCTTAGAATCTCAGTCAATCCTCCTGCCACCCCAGTGCTGGGATTATCTCTCCCTCCTGTTTCCTGGTGTGACTTTCTTCATGGTGTTGCTTTGTGTCATTGATTTTTTTTTTTTTAATTGCAAAGTTTGTCTGGGGAGGGGGCATCCCTCACTTCAGAAAGTAACAGCAATAAAACCAAATCTGTAGCTTACCTAGTACGCATGGAAAATGACCAGGTTTTTATGTGGGTGTTGTTTCATTGTGTGGTGCTGAAAGCCCACAGCGAAGCAGTTACTCTGCTGTGAGGCTACATTTCTCACCCTGCATTTGAACTTTCTGTTTTTTATGAGTTTTCTACTCTAGTTCATATTTCCTAAAGTGAGTTATGTTTAACTTGGTTTGATCAAGACACCTCAGTCTGTCAGTGTGAACCTGCTGAGAAGACCAGCTGTAATTTTGGCATCATAATGATCTCCTTGGCACCTGATTTCATAGACCAGAATTATGATCTGAGCAGATAGCATGTCTCTGGCATTTTCGTGGTTTCCAGGTACTTCTTAAATTGGACCAAACCAAGCCAAATAATCTGCAGGTCACTCTTCTAGATGCCTTTTCACCTTCAGCTTTCAAAGCCCCAGGAAGTAGTTGCTTTGCAGGCTGGACTTATGCCATCAGACCACAGCTTAAGTGGTTTGTGAGTCAAAGATTCCTCAGTTGTGCAATTTAGGGACTGGTGTGCTACCATAAAACTCAAACTAAAAGCTTTTTGTCTGTGGTGACATACTTGACTGTGTCCTCACTCTGTGGTCTTCTTCTGACACATAAGGAGGAATGACCACAGTTGAAAAGTAAATCACAGCTCTACACGAGTTCACACTCATCCTTCATGGAGGTACAGGCCTGTAACCCCATAATTTGGGATGTGGGAGCAACGGGATCGAGAGATTAAGGCTAGCCTGGGCTACACAGGAAGGCTGTCTTAGAGTGGCTCAGTGGTTGAAGCACTTGCTGCTCAAGGGTAAGGACCAGAGTTTGGATCCACAGAACTCACCTAAAATGCCCAGTGAGCTTGGTAACCAGCTTATAATTCCAGCCTGGGAAGATAGGCAGGAGTCTGCAGAGCAAGCTGCCCAGAGAGGGGAACCATATCCGAGCTCTGGGTTTGACTGAGATGCTGACTCAGTGAATAAGGTGTAGAGCAGTGGAGGAGGATTCCCAGCACAGACCTCGGTCCTCTGTGTGTGCATATTCACACACCCACAATGGAAAATGGAAAGGGAACAGAAAAAGAAAGTCTCTTCTGTTCTGCAGTATAGCTTCTCTGCAATAAAATAAGGAGAGGAAGACTCAGAAAGAGAAAGTTAAACAAAGTGAGCTAACATTTTTTTAAAGAAATAGAACAGATTGGAGGTATTATGAAACATGCTTGGGGGAAAAGATAAATTTAGTTTTTTTTTTAAAAAGTCAAGCATGGCCATGGTGTGGTGACGCATGCTTTTAGTCCCAGCGTTTGAGAGGCCAACAGATCACCGTGAGTTCAAGGCCAACCTGGTCCAAAAAAAAAAAAAGTTGGGTATGTTGGTACACACCTTTAAAATTAATCTCAGCACTCAATATACAGAGGCAGGTGATGTCTGCACATTGGAGGCCACCCAGGCCTGGTCTACATAACAAGTTCCAGGCCAGCCAGGGCTTCATAATGAGACCCTGACTCAAATAAAAACGTTGAAAACAGCTGGCTTTTACTCCCACTCAGTAGGACTATCAGAACTTCAAGCTCGTATGAGACGAGTGAGCCTGAAGCTGTCCTGTGCTTTATGATACCCTTGGCTTTTTTTTGTTTGTTTTTTTGGTTTTTTTCGAGACAGGGTTTCTCTGTGTAGCCCTGGCTGTCCTAGAACTCACTCTGTAGACCAGGCTGGCCTCGAACTCAGAAATCCGCCTGCCTCTGCCTCCCAAGTGCTGGGATTAAAGGCGTGCGCCACCACCACCTGGCTTACCCTTGGCTTTTTAAACAAACAAAAAAACTAATGAGCTTTCACAATAAACAAACTTAAAAGAATCCACACTTCCTTATTTTCTTTATGTTATCATTTTTGGCTTGGCTTTTTTATTTTAAGGAGTTGAGTCTGTATAGCAAAGGCTAACCTCAAACTTGAAATTCTCCTGCCTCGGTCTCCAAGGTGCTAAAATTACAGGTTTGCATTACCAGAGCCAGCTCAAGTGCTGTACTCTGAAGAGTTTTGTGAAAACATCTGAGTACTAAACATACTGAACACCATTAATGGGACATAGGCTTTAAGAGTTTTGAGATAAAAGGTTGTGAGTTCTGCTTTCTTATGTTCCCGTTGCGGTCTCATAGTGTGGTTGATAAATTAGAAGCTTCCTGTGAGATGCCACAAATAGGACGGGTGTAATTCTCAGTGCATTGAAATGTTCTATAAAAAGAGGAAGAGGATGTTGATATTGTGTGAACCAGCTACTGGTCCCTTTATGTGTTTCGTTAGTTGTCTCTTGACCTAGGTAGCATCAAGCCTAGTAAGTTCAGACCAGACCCAAAGGGGTCTCCTTTGCCAGCTTTCTCCAGATCAAAGCAGGATCATGTATCCCAGGCTGGCCTCAAGCTTGCTGTAAAACTGAACTTACAATCCTCCTGCCTCCACCTCTCTAGTGTAGTTATTATAAGCATATACCACCATGCCTGCTTTTTGCTGTGCTGGAGATAGACCCTAGAGCTTCATGCGTGCTGGGCAAACACTGCTCCCTGAGTGCAAGCCCCCAATCCCAATATGACTACATGGAGTCTCATGTGTGCCTAACAGAATACTTCCGCTGGGGCACCTTTTGGCATTCTTTCTTCAGATGATCCAGAGTCTCAATGTCCTTGTTGCCATGTCACCTTCAGTAGATCAACTCTATATTCAGTCCCTTCTTTTATCTAGAGGACCTCTTGCCTTCCATCCCGTTCCTTTATCTCCTCTGTCTCATCTCCATCCTTGCCATCATGATCCCAAGCCGCTCATCAAATGGTCTTGCCATCCTCCGTGTCAGGATGAAGGCAAACCAAGTCTGGCAGGCATGGTGGCACACATCTTTAAATCCCAGCACTCAGGAGGCAGAGGCAGGGAGAATTCTTTGAGTTCAAGGCCAGCCTAGGCTACATAATGAGAGGTTCCAGGCCAACTGGGATTTAAATAGTGAGGCTCTGTCTCAAAAACAGTAACAGAAGACAGAGATTCAGAAACACAGTCTGATTCCCTGCTTGCACAAGGTGCCAGCCTCAGATATACTAAGGCTCCCAGGTGTGCCATGTGCTCATTGAGGAACAGGCAGACTCTGTTGAGAGCCTCTCTCATCAAGTGCCCTATGGAGTTCTCTCCATGAGTTCTTTCTGTTAGGTTTTAATGAAGTTTCTGCAAGGTCGATATACCATGAAGGTTGTAGCTAGGGGAAACTGTATTCAGTACCTTACCTTTCTAAAGAAAGTCCAGAGCAGTAAATGATTAAGTAAGTACCCGTTCTAGAGATTGAAACACACCCATGGGCTTTCCTAAAATGAAATTAAACTCAAGTTACCTTGCT